CGGCAAAGGGCGGCTCCGGGGCGGGGTGGGGATCGGCCGGAGCCCCCCGCCCCGGCGGGCTCCGCTGGGGATGGAGCCGGGTTTCCTCTCCTTCCCCAAGAAGCTTCTCGCAACGCGCACGTTTCAGTCCGCTCCTCGGTGCAATCCTGGGGGAAAAGGGAAGGAGCCGTTATATAAACCCCTCCCTTCCTTTCCTTATTGTGGGAGCCGATTTAGGGCAGGTATCGCAGATCCGAGGATATTAACTTTTCATTACGTAAGGCAAGATATTCGCATCTAACGGACTGTTACAGCCATTTTTTTTTTTTTTTGACACTGAGTTTTTCATTACTGGCAGCGGCTCCTTCTCGCAGCCCCACGGACACACCCATCCAAGTCCTCCTCCCTCGGCCTCGCAGGCAGAAAAGTGAGCTCGGAAATAGAGCTTTGAAGTGTGACATTTCTGCGGGAGCCGCTGGGCTGTACGGTTATGTTTTAAACGATGTTTAGGAAATGCAGGGGATGCACAAAATTGGTATGTGATAAATGCAGCATCCTCTTTTTTTTTGGGGGGGGGGAATAGTTTCCCTCCAAGAGTCCAATGGTAGAGAATTTAAAAAGATGCCGACGTTTAAATAACGATGAAGGTTACTGCTGAATTGCTGTCATGGGCCAAAAGTAGTATGACGCATTTTTCTTACGACTGAACGCTCTGATTTACGGTGTGTGCACCCAATGCACACGTCTCTTGTAAAGATAAGGGATAGAAAAAATCAGATTCTGATCTTATTTGCTGTTATATAAACGCAGAATTGATCTACCGAGACTAAGGCTTGAAGAAGAAGGATAATTAATGTCTAGCTGTCCTGTTTTGACTGCCTCGGTAGGGTAAATAGATAGAGCTTTAGTGGCAGGCCCTCGCACGGTTGCAAACTGCGTGCGCTTTTGTCTCCAAGGTGGTTGAAAGGAGCAGAAGGATTCGCACTGATTTCAGAGCCTGCCGTTCGGCTGCAGCAGGAGACCTGTTTACTAGCAGGAGCGTTCAGAGCATCATTAAAATGGTCCAGGCTGCATTTTTGTTGCTCACTATATATATATGTATATTTTTTTCTTCTTTCCTAATTGATGCCCCGTGCATTAGGGGCTGTCAGTGACATCGATGGCCAAACTAACCAATTTCAATAGTAGCCGGCTTTTTTAATAGCAGAAGGGATCTGCACTAGAGGTGGGCATAAATACTGCAGCGTTTCTGGAAATGGTAAACATGTAGGACAGTTTGCTGTAGAGGCTGGCATTGAAAGACAAGTGGGTTTTTCACGCCCCAAGTTAAGTCATTCAGGCTTATTGGCATTCACAGCAGATCCTAAATTTAAATCTTGGGGTTTTCTTTCTTTGTTTTTTAAATTGGTGGCATTATTCAGGGAAACTTTCCATTGCAACAGTAGGAGGAAGGAGAAGGAAAAAAAGGAGGGGGAAGGAGAGACACTTAACATCTCATAGATGTTTAGCAGTTATATCAAAGATGGGTATAATGGTGTAAATCAGTAGCTGATGCAACTCATGTAGCCCTTTTGGCATTAAAAGAGGCATGTCAGCTTGTGTCAGTGGAGAATCGGGTGCTCCAACTCTTCAGTTTTATTACAAGCTCTTTGGGAAAATGCCTGATTTCTTCTGATGGACCAGCGGAGTCCCAGCTCGAAATAAGGGCCCTGAGCATCATGGTCACTGTCCTATATGTATTTGCTATAAGTTCAAGGCACCGCCAAGTTAAAGTCCGGCTTTCTACCCCTTTTTGAATTCAGCATTTGGCTTCACCAGCCTGGCTATGCTGCTCTGGTATAGCTTTGTTCTCTTGCAAAGCCGTTTTTGGGAGGAGGAAAGAGAATCAGAGTAAGTACATGTGAAGATGTAAGGGCCAAGGTGTATGTGGTTTAAACCGAACGCTGCATAACGTGTATGTGCTTTGCTTGAAATGTATGCATCTGTCATGTAGGGAATGAAGGAACCAGGGGAACATAGCAGTCACGTTTAACTTTCCTCCCCATCCAGAGCTCTGTAGAGTGTGTTTCACTCTTGTTTATGACCACTGCAAAAAAAAGAGAAATCTGGTTTTGACTAAAATCTCGCAAAAGCGAGATGTAACCTGGGCTGCGATAAAAGCACGTCGCTTGATAGCTGCCTCCTTACAATGACCTTTCTGTTCCTGCCAAACTGTCTTCTAATTGGAGGGAATTTTAATAACCGTTTTTTAAATCCTTCTCTTAAACTTAATTTGCTAATGTGTGCTTATTTCCATCTGATTATGCAGTAGTGCTCCGGAAAGGCAGTAAAAGTATTCACCGCATCGAAACATCACCAAGTTGGACAAAATGAGTTTGTTTGTGTTGTGTAAGCCCTGGCAACAGACTTTTGGTCCATTTCCCTGACAGCCGGTGACTCACAGCTAGCCAAGGAGTGACTCCAGTCTGTGGGTGCATATAGGAAATTTTGCATACGACCAAGGCAGAAAAAATAGAGACGCGGCTCTTACGCATCCCTCGGAGTATTATTTAATGCTTTTGCTGTAGGTGATGGTGGCAGACTGCAGGTATGAGGGAAGCTGCCAACTAGACAAGCCCGCTGGAAATCAACTCCTTTTCCGTTCTGATTTTTTTTTTTTTTGGATCATCGGTGTGATGAAAGGACTTGCAGCTGAAATAAAATATTTTATCTTTCCAGTTGAAAGTGCAGCAATTGACTCGCGTTTTGACATGCGCTTTTGAATAATGCAGAGGTTGTTTCCGTCTCTACTCTTTTATCTCTGAAGTGACACTGCAGACTGTCAGCCTTCTCACAGAATAATTATCTATTCCTGTATGCTTCTTTGTTGCAGAGTGATCGTCTTTTGATCAAAGGTGGTAAAATAGTTAATGACGACCAGTCTTTTTATGCAGACATTTACATGGAAGATGGATTGATAAAGTAAGTGAAGCCTGATACCGTGTTGTGATTGGAAATGTACAGAAATGTACTGTAGATTAGCAAGGAATAACTTAGTCTCAGTGCGCTGCATTAAATTGCAATGAAAAATTAATGTTTCACCTATATCCTGGTGTTGGATGGAGGAACTTTAAAAACCAGGTGTTGAATTAAATAAACAAATGGGCCAAAACCCCACTGTTATTAAAGCGTGGGTCAAAGGAGGTACTTACATGTGCTTAATTTTAGCCATGTGAATAGCCCCATGCTGAGATGACACATATGTTTGAAGTTATCTGTGTTGTAACATTTTACTGAGTTATGACTTAAGATACTTCGAATCCAGAGTTCAGCATCCTAATACAGTTAATTCTGGTTTAGGGTAGGAGGCTGGACTTACGTGACCTCTTGAGGTCTCTTGCAGCGATGTCTTCTGTGATTCTATGATACCAGGAGCAATCTAAACCCCCTTAAAGTTAATAATGCTCCTGTAGTTTAAGGATTGAGGTTCAGGTCTCTTTCCAGCGTGCTTCTGTGTTTTCAGTCCTGAAACATGCGTTTCTGGCACATTAAATATATTACAGATTTCTCTGGAAAATTACTCTTAGGAAAAAATGGATGAGCCCGAGGTTACAAACAAGGAATTTTCCTGTTCTGGCTAAACGGTCAGCACATGTGCTTTGTTAATCAAGGTTAAAAGTTAAAGGAGCCAGGCAAAGACAGCTAATTAATTGCAATGTGTCAGCCACTATTGCATTTTTAAAAATACCTCTGTGAAGAACTAGACTGGAGAGGGCTTTGGGGATCTCGTCAGGAATTTGGTAACCGGTATCTGCATGGGTTTATATTTGTGCAGGGATTACATGATATTTATGCGTGAAAGAAAAGCAGACAATATAGAGGCAAAAATCCTTCCAGTGTTCCCAGAACAATACTAACATCTAAATAGCTGTTAGATAGCTAGAATCAAGTGTCCAACTGCCACTTGGCAACCTCAGTCCGGTCCCAGTAAAGCTGTTCGCAAGGCTCTTGCTGTGTTTGGTGCAGCCATCATCTGATGATTGGCATGGTCCCTTCTCCAGCTGTCTGCCGGCATGGCTCCTTCTTTTCCTTCCTGTTAAGTCTAACATCGCCCCGAGGTCCTGAAGTAATTGCACACTTTGCTCTCAATTATGGAGCTGCTTCAAGGGGAAGCATAAAATATTATCAGCTTGGCATGCTGATCCTGTATATGGCTTTATAAGGAAAAAGAAGACACTAGCCAGGTTAAGTAGCACAAGGCTGTGTGTTTACAGGCTGTTTGCCTTGTCTGATGTTTGTGTCTGACTTGCTATTTGAAATGCTTTTACCCAGGCAAATAGGAGAGAATCTGATTGTGCCAGGGGGAGTGAAAACTATTGAAGCCCATGGCAGGATGGTGATTCCTGGAGGGATTGACGTTCACACCCGCTTCCAGATGCCGGAACAGGGGATGACATCTGCTGATGACTTCTTCCAAGGGACCAAGGCTGCACTGGCTGGGGGCACCACCATGATCAGTAAGCTGGCTGCTTTTTCTCTACCACGAAAGCTTTACTTTTTTTCTTTCTCAGATAAGTACAGAGACTGTGGGCTGTATAAGTCACGTGATATTTGGGACCAGGTATTGGCAGTGGAGGATTTCTGATGTCTGTCCAGGTTGCTGAGAAAAGCTTGTGCAGCGGTGGGAAAAGGCTTGGAAAATCCAAGACCCCAGGTTTTCCAAAACTTGCAGCTGTCCGTCATTTCACTCTTGTCTTCTCTGTTGGCAGGATTTACCTTGCTACTTGTGTGACTTTGCCAGATTCTTGGGTCTGCTCCTAATGAAACCAGTGTCACTTTGACCTCTGGTTCCAGTATGAGCAGCAGATTCTCCACATCCCTGTGCCTCGCTTCCCTTTCTCTGTGATGTCTGTGACTCCGAGAGGCTTGTACTCTTTCATCTATAGAGTTCAACCTTTCTGGAACAGCGGTTGCTGCATGTACGGAGAGAGGAAGAAGAGGTACTTCATACAGGGTTGTCTGGGGATGGATAGATGTCCATCGTATGGTTCACACCCAGAAGCTTGATGCCATTGTACTATGTGTCTTTGAAAACTGGGCCGCTTATTTAAGAATTTGCACGTGTCCACTTATGTACGCAGCTTTAGCACAGGATTTTTGTTAACATTGTTCCTTCTGTGCTCATATCCTCTTTTGGAGAAAGAGAGAAATCGGGAAATGAAAATATCTCAAAATAAACCGACAGACTGACTGACGGACTGTTCTGCTGACACCAGGATTAGACACCCATGGTGTTCCACTCTGGCTCTAAAATGCCTCATCAATGACTTCCAGGCTGTCTGTCCCCGCTGGCATTGGCTACAGATGCTTGGCTTGTCAGAGCCAGGACCTCAAAACTCCATAAGTGAGTCATTGTTGTTAACCTTGTTTGAGCTAGAGAAAAAAACTAAAAACCTCGGTTGCAGTGCAGCTGATCACGTGTAAACTGTAACACGGCGCCCCGGAGTCTGTTGCTGCATATGGGAATCAAGGATAAAGGTGTAAAGTGATACAATATCTGAGCATCTTGCATTCTTTCATGTACTCTGAGGGGCTGCCATTTCACAGGAGGGGAGTTAAGGTACAGAGAAATAAAAGAGCATGGTTCAGAGCAGGTACTAGCGTCTGTTGTCCAATCCAGGGATACAGAGAGATCTTAGGCACAGCCAGGAATCGGCCTAACTCTCCTCAGTTCAAACATAGCTCCTTATGGAGTAGAACATCCTCATCTCTTAGAAGATGGTTATGAGCAATCTTTGATCCCTGGCCTGGTGGGTGGACTCGGATTGATTGACATGGAGGTTAGGAGTGGGAGCCAGTGGTCCAACACAGCTAGACTGTCTGTGTTTCAGAAACAAATCTTTTTCTGGGTCTGGACCTTGCAAATAGGTTGTGTCTGGCCTATGAGCTTGGTCTAATGCTTCAAATAAATAACCATAAAAGAAGCTGGGAAAGTATTTTTCATAATGTTATCACTTTAGAGTATGAAGTTTGTGTATGAAGATAACCTCACACATACAGAGAATGTAAAGCGAGAGTGTAGCTGTGGATGATCTCAGTGTGCATAATAATATCCAGTTTTTCTTCAAATCTTTGCTGTCAAGTTAATAACACTGAAATGGTATTTGCTTTTCAGCTTTAGTTCATTGACTTTGTTTCATTGGTTGTTCCCTTGTTATTAGTACACCTGGTTCACACTTGAATTACCATTTTGTTCTTCCTTGAATTAGATCAAAATAACATTCTCTGTCATCTGTATCTGGGCTTTTACCAGCATTATTTCCCCCAATGGCACTTTTTAAAACATTTTAAGCAGAAATTGCTTAGGCAAAATTTTCTAAAGTAGCCCTTTACTTTGGTTGCCTAATTTTACCTATGCAGGGCCTCGTGCTTCAGAAGTGCTTGGACTTTTCTGTGTATGTGTAGATGTATATCACCTTTATGACTGTAGTATCTGAATATCTCACTAATGGTGTTCATAACACATCTCTGAGTTAGGGAAATTGGACGACAGTCCCCCGTTTTATAACTTCTCATTTTACAGCTGTGAAAAATCAGCACAATGTAGATTGTGACGGTGGGCAAACCATGTAGAGGATGCTGGTGGCTAAACTTGACCTTACTGCCTTCCTGATCGTCTGGGATTAGGATACCAAAATACACAATCATCTCTGAACAAAAAACATCTTCCTAAAGCGTAGCAGCAAGGACAGTAATTGGGCTGCTTAGGATGATGGAGAGACATTTCTGATGGGCGGGCATCAGCAACTGGAGCTGAACAGTGGAAAGCAGGATAAATAATCCAACTAGACTTCAAAGCTTTGGCGACTCTGCTCTGTGTCAGCTCAGCTGTTCTCCTCTTAGCAAAATTATACCATTTGCAAAAATGTTTTTCCATAAGGAAGCATGCAGAACTGCCCTCGTGAACATGCTCTTGGTGGGTGGCCTTTGGTTTCTGCCAAAGCAGGTGGGAGTCGTGGTTGATTGCAGCATTTTTTCTTTTTATGATAAATAGGACAATGTTTAGTGAGCTAGATTCATAATATCACAGACAAATTGCAGCCTGAAAATGACACGCTAATGTTTATGTTGTATATTTTAAATGCCGGGCCTGGGACTTTTCAAAAGAGAATATTCTCCTCTCGTGGAAATGTGTCTAGCTGTGTGCCTCCATTCTTCAGGCTTTTTTGGAAAAGCTAGCATCGTGGATGTGAGCTTTGTGGAAAAAAACACCCATGTTCCTTCATTTGTGCTTTAAGCAGACTTTGTATTATTTATTTACAAATACGTTTACTCCATCCGTTTTTCTTTTTTATACATAGCCCTCATTTTGGGCAAGAAAACTGATTAGTCGGCTTCATGCTTCAATTTGTTTCACATTTTCATGCAGGAGGGCACTTTAAGGCTGTTTACTTTACAATCATT